TCCTGTTACGACAAAGAAAGACTATACTTATTAAAAATCTTGTTGAAGATTCTGTTTTAGTTATTTTTCCATTTTTTCCCCTGTAGAAACAGCAGTTTCAAGGCTGTTGTGCATTTTTATTTGCTCCTTTAGGACTACTAGAGTCATTCTAGAATTTTTGTTTTTTAACTTTACCAACAAAAAAAAAAAAAAAAAAAAAAAAAAAGAGGAAAGCCTCTCAAACACACACCCCCTTTTTTAATTTTCAGAAATCCAGTATAATTTGACCTTTTTCTACTTTCAACAGCCAGACCATCACTGCTCATCACAGGCTCAGGAGAAATGGGCACCAGGAACCCCAGGGTGGTTCCAAGCTGGGGCTGTGCCCAGGGCAGGTGGACACAGATGATTCAACTCATTGGCCACGCTCGAACTGCACCTGCTTTGCATTAGCATTACCTGATGTACTTCTGCATTTTTTGTACTAAAAGGGGTTTTGTGATGAAGGATTCAGCTAGAGACTAAAAAGCAGCTGGTCAGTTACACGTTTTGAGAGATCTATGATTGAGTTCCACCTCAGTAAATGATTGCTAAAGACATCATACTCGGAACACACACAATGGTTTTATCACACAATTCTGCTGGAACTTACAGAATTCTTTGGGTTCTTTGTAATTTAACAAATTGGTCAAACACAAATGACCAGAAGTTGTTATAACATGAATAATTTTTGTTCTATTCCAGATATGGAATGAAAATTGGCATTGAAAACCTTTGTGAATGTTTTCGGATTCACAATATCGCATCGCAGCGTGCTCAGGCTTCACTACGTGCTCTCCTCCTGTTGGATCTATGAAGGTATTTTACCTGTGGGTTTAATGACCAAGTGTACGACTGCTTGGCTGTAAATCCTTCTGACTTTAACAGAAAGAGAGAGCCCACAGGCTGAGAGACAGCTGCGGATGAAGCGTAAAAGGTCGCGGGATCAGGATCAGGACTTACCTCCAGTTTAACAGACTGTGGAAGGCTGGCTGGCTGGTTTGAGGGTTTCTTCCTATTGGAGTCAAAAATTCCTCAGGTGAGACTTGAAGAACCCTTGGCAGAGGGGCGTGGAGGTGACCAGGCTGGTGTAGACAGACCAGGGTTACAAACATCACATTGGGTTGCAGGAAGATGGGAGGGAGCGTGACCCTTGGCATTTCCCACCCCGGCATCAGGGAGTGACCTGGGATGAACAAATCCTCCTGGTCAATCCCAGAATGGCCTGGATTGGAAAAGCCCTTTAAGCTCATCGAGTCCAACCATGAACCAACACTGACCAGTCCCCGACTAACCCATGTCCCTCAGCACTGTGTCTACACGACTCTTCAATCCCTCCAGGGATGGGGACTCCACCACTGCCCTGGGCAACCCCTTCCAATGCCTCAGAACCCTTTCAGCAAAGAAATTCTTCCTCACATCCCATCTCAACTGCCCTGGCCACAACTGGAGCCCATTTCCTCTTGTCCTGTCCCTTGTTACTCCACCCATGTCAGGAGATCCAGGACTTAAAAGTTGGGTTGCACTTGTTTTAATGTGACAGGTATTAGGAAACCTGAGGATTGCTGGAGAGCTGAGGATGAAAAAAATTTGTAGCAAAATAATTTGAGCAACTCAGTCACCATCCACCCAGAGTGCTACACTCTTGAAAGCACTCTAGAAAAATATTCAATGGGTTACTCAAGTCAGGCGTAATTTGATTTTCCTCTTGGTTACCCAGATCAAAAGAAGAGTGCCCTGACTTCAGGAGGTAAAAAGAGAGTTCTGGAAATTAACTCCTGACTCATAAAAATCAGTTCATTCTGATTTGTTCTTGTGGAGATGTTCAGGTTTAGTAAACACCATCTCCTGCTGTGCCTCCCCCCTCCTCGGGTGATCATGCAGAATAACGATCTCCCTCTCTAGACTTAACTGCTCTGGGCAAACACAGCCAGAGGCTTTTATGTTTTGGGGGTTTTTTTAACACGAGCATCTCCTCTTCTCCTTGGTGTGCTCTAGTGACAGGGCTGCACCCCCCTGGTCCAGCTGCCTCCACATCACCTTGCAGGGGTGAGCTCCATTCAGAACTATTTTTGCTGAGGTCTGGCCAATGATGCCATGGTAGGCAGGTCTGTCTGTCCGTCTGTCCTTGCTATACCTTGGGTAAGTGCACATCCCAGCACAGGAAAATTTATAGATAAATTGCAGAAAAGAAAAAAATAATTCTGGAAAAATGCTATTTCCTGAGACAAATAACAGGCTGGGCACCGGTCAGTGGGTGGTGAGCAACTGCACTGTGCATTTTTATATTATTATCATTATTACCATTACTGTCAATATTACTTTAATTTTTATTTTACTTCAGTTATTAATTTTTTTTTCTCTCAACCTACAGGTCTCCTTACCTTTGCCCCTCCAATTCTCTTCCCTATTCCTTGGGGAAGGGGAGAGCGAGCGAGCGGCTGTGTGGTGTTTGGCTGCTGACTGAGTTAAACCAGGACTCTCTTTCAGCTCAGCAAATCTGTTTCTATATGAGAACAGGAGAAGGCAATGGGGCAGATGGGTTCTGCCATCACCTGAGACTTTGATGAACAGTGAAAAGCAGTCGCTCCTGACAAAGGCAGGAAATGAGAAAGTATTTTTCTTACATATTAATAAGAGAGAAGAATGTTTTAATTGGAGGCACATGAAGTGAGATTAGGATTTGTTAAGGATATTGGGAAATGAATAGACCATAAAAATATTATTTGGTATGAGATCATACGCTCCCATAAACTTGAAGTGCTTCTCTGAAGGTATTTTACCTCAGTGTCCATCAGTATTTTACACTATCCTGTGCCTTAATACAGACATTTCCTTCTGCAGTATCATGGGGCTAGTTGCATTTATTGTAATATTCCTCCATTTTAAACATAAGAAACCCGATCAGAACTTGGAGGCTTTCTAAAAGATACAGATCACCACCAGCACTGACCACTTCTCGTGTTCCACAGAATTTCACAAGAAAATCAAACACATTATCCACTCACCATCACACTTATATCGTGACGAGGATTTCTGACGTTGTCAGGAAATGCTAAAATCAAGGAGAATCCCCAGTATAATAATACTCAATTTTATTCAGATTCAGGGGATGGCAGTGTAGGGTCTAGATAGGCACATACATTAAACCAGACAACAGCACAAGGGGCACAAGCCACTGAAACAGAAGAGCTTTCAGTCACAAAAGCAAGATCTCATCGCTTTGCTGCATCCTACTTTTTAAAAAAATAAATAACAGGAAAACGTGCATAACCTGATGAAAACCCCTGTGAAGTCTGTGCTCAGGTCCACTAAAAACCTGCATCTTTTCCCTGGCTCACCGCTGCCTGATCCTACAAGGGAAGAACATTTGTCTGTGACTCATGCAGGACTCCCGGAGCAAACCCGGCTCTTCCAGCGATGTAACAATCACTGTTAAATCAAATTGTATGTCAGCAGCTGTCACAAATCTCACAAGCCCTGGAAAATCAAACTGCACCCCCTGGCTTGTGCTGCAGCTGGGTCCTGAGGAACCATCCTCACTGGCAGAGGTGAGACAAAACCGGCAGCATCTGCTTAACCTGGTTAATTCCAACCCAGCAACGAGTCTCCTCGCTCACACCAACAGCAACTTTGGGTCAGGACTTGCACTCATAGAAATAAACAACAATTATTTCATGTCGAGGTTTGAAACTCCACACACTTTCTAGAGCACATCTTGTGTTACGTACTCCTCTTTGAATTATTCCGAGTTTATTGTTCCCAAGTATTAGAAAATACTCTTTATTTCCTTCATTATAAAAAAATATCCTGCACACATCTAAAGAAAAATGACCATTACTTGGAGAAAATATCAAAATCACTCCTACCAAATAGAAATCTATAAATCTAATGAGTAATAACTTTAAAATTAGGTCAACTGAGGAAATTATGGTCACAGACAGAGGAAAGCGTGTCTTTCCAGCACCATGAAGGAAGGGATGTACTGGTGTTCAGCGGAGCTGTGCTGGTTTTCTCCCACCATCACACCCTACCTTTCTAGTCAGAGTGACTATTTTGCTCTCAATATGCTCAGGACTCCAAGTGATAGCAGTGGAATGTGCATACAAACCATGAGTGGTAGGAATTCCCACTGGTTTTCCACCTCTCCAGTAAAAACCATGAGACTTGCACGACTTTACCCGATATTTCAAAAAACGTTTAAAAACTTAAAACCCCCTGAAAATTGGCTTAAAATATTTATTAATTAAAAAAAGTTAAATATTTATTTATACAAATATGATGAGAAAAAAAATCTCATGCAGACTTTTCACATACAGGAACAGAACTGAAACCAGACTGCAACGGGTTTTATAAAAGACCTTCTTTTAGGAACTGTGACGGAGAAGTGTCGCTATCGCCCGCCGGCCTGAAGCACCAGTCACGGGAAGTAGAAAGCAATTTCGGAAACGTAGAGTTTTCCTATGGAACATATGCCAAGATTTTCACACTCTTCACTAAGATTAACGATTAATATCTTATTACTACTACTCAGAGAACCGGACAGAGACGTATGAACACCGGCAATGAACTCCTGCGCACCACCCAACCCCTCAACCCTTCGTGTTCACGCAGAAAGTTGCCAAAAGATTGCTTTAGATAATTCCCCTAAATGATGAAAATATCTTGAGATTGTTATGGATGGCATCTGCTTCTGCTTAATTACAAATCTGCACTGGATTCATAATTTGTGTATATTACAAGTCATTTGCATAATTAAAACAATTAAGGGATTGACATATCATGGCAATTACAAATGCATCAAACTCTGGATGTGGTACAAAAGAGAGCTTCAATATGAAACATTAATTCTTTGAGAACAAAATATCCTTCAGATTCCTGCAGAACAACCGTCCCAGGTCCGACAGACGCCCCATAAACCCCGTTCAGAGGAGTTTCCTCAGCCCCGTCCGCTTCCCCCTCGCGCTGTCGAACCCCCGATGGCTTCAGCCTTCACTGGAATTTCCTACTGCAGTCACAGCACGGATTTGTGTTCTTATTGCCAGTTTCAGGAGTTTTTATCTCATTTTCCGTAGCCTTATCCTGTTTTCTTTGTCCCTCTTTTTAAGAATAAGTATGAACTGATTGAAAAAATGCTCTTGGTCCTTCTTCTTCTGAACAAGGCGAAACCGCTGGTCGCGTCCGTATTTCTCTGCAAATTCCTTAAACGTTGTTCTGCAGAAAAGAGAGACATTTTAAAGCTGGGACTTTATCAATCCACAGACTCCTTTGACCTGGATCTGGCTTCATTTTTCACACAGACACTAAAAATGGGTGTTCTGGGGAATATGGGACAGGAACCCAATGGTGACCCCCGGGATGAAGGAGGCGAGAGCCCACCAGTTCTGCCCAGGCTCTGGACTCATGTATCAGCCTGCACTTCCACTTTTTGATTTAGAAAATGTGGGTGACAGCTGACAGGACAATTTTGAACCATTAACAAAGTATTTCACTGCGGTTTCAGTCTCTGCCTGCCAGTACTTATGGGTGGTATATCAATAATTAGCCTGTAATGGAGCAGAAACCCACCCCGTGTCTAACTGCAAACAAACTTGGGCTGTCAGGAGCACACAACCCCTGATGAAAACCACACCAGTCTGATCTTTCCCTAAAAAGAGCAAAAAATGAATAGTAACTTGGAGTGATGGGCACCCACCGGCAGCTCTGCCTGAGGATTCCATCCTCAGCTCCAGCCTTTCCCAACGCACACATGTGGCATTGGATCACACATCCAAACTGAGCCAGAGACCTGGGCTGGCTGGGAGATGAATTTCTTCGGTCTCACAGGCAGCTCAACAAAAACAGGAGCCTGTAAAATGTTCTCTGTCCTGTCAGCCAGCACAGTTTTGCCCTCACAGACTGAGATCATCATCGCTGGAACCAGCGTTCAGCTGCTACATCAGCCCAGAATATCCTCAGTCTTGCTGTAAAAAATTTCTTGTCATTATTATTTCCATATTTCCTGATGTGGTGGTGGTACCTGTGTGTCTAGGCAGGCAGTGCCCTGCAATTACCTGCATAGTTTAGTAGAGAAAACTATAATTTCTTAGTTCAAACAATTTAACCAGATTTGCAATATAAAAATCTCTTTATTTTCAGATAATCCACAAATGAGCAAGTGCTCTCCTAAGCACTGCACTGGGCAGTTTTGGATCCATTACTTAAAAATCAATGTAGAAAAAGAAATCATTGCATTGCGTGCTCAATTTAAATTTAGTGATGTGACTTTAATAGTATCTTTGTTAAATTATGTTTCTTTTCCATAAAAAACCAAACCTAAATACAGTTTTTCACTAGTTACACCTGTATGACTAATACGAATGAGATTTAACATTCAGGTGCTGAATTTATTACACGTAATATACATATATTACATATAATATGTAATATACATATATATATTATGTTACATGTAATATGTGTGTGTTCTGTAATTATATTATAGGGCATATAGTATATGGCATATATATGCACATAAATGTGTTCTGCAAAATATTACAAATCCTTAAGGACAGAGGGAGAGAGAGAGGAACACAGAGAGAGACGGTACGTTCCCTTTCCCACTAATACAAGAAAATAATGTAAAATATTAGGGAAGAAATGTCAACCCAGCATGGTAACAAGGGAGGTCCACGCTTGCTATGAAGAGTACAGCCAGGGTTTGGGGCTGATAAGCGCAGGGTAAATGAAAAAGCTTATCTTAACAGATCTTCAGAAGGCAGAGCCATACCTTGGCGATAACTTGGATTCTTCGAGGAGCTTTTTAAATTCTTCTTTGGCTAACAACAATTTATTTTTCTTTTCTTTGTACTCTTCTCTGATCCTGGTCTTGACAAACTGTTCAAATATCTTTCCAAGAAAGGGAAATGAGATAGAGCATTTATTAACAAAGCTTTCATGGTATTTATGCTTGATCAAAGGGCTGTCAACCTCCCAACGTACAGCTCTTATCTGCCCTGGGTACAGGCTGACTCGCATGCAGCTCAATCTGCTCCATGCAGCACTGATCGTGTTCTCACCAAATAAGTAGCTGGGAAAAAGTATAATTTGGACAGATAACATGTTCATTCAAACATCAAGTGCAACATAAATCAGAATTTCCTGGCTTCAGCGTCTCGCTCGCATTTTCATGCCCACAGCAGGATTTTTGTACATCCCTCCAGCTGACCGCAGTTATTCAGCTTGGATCTCACATCCTTCCCAACTTGCTGGATTTCCTGAAAATGTCTATACATCTAAACATCAATGTTCTGTAGGTTACCTCCTAAAAAGCCCAGAGACCTTTCAAATCAGTTGTCAAAACACACGAGCTTACACCCGGATCCTCTGCGCACACACACCCGAAAGCTTTCATGTGTTTGGAAGGGTGGACAACCTTCCTCTAACAGGATCTGGCAGCTGAATATGCAGCAGGGCGCTCAGCATCAGGATTTTTGGTGCCTTGAGAAGGAGTTAAGGAGTTCACAATGTCACAAAATCCTGCCAACTGCTTTAATCATGTTTTTAATACCAAAAAATCCTGCCCTGCCGGTTTCATGCTCTAAAAAGTGTGTCACCCTAAGTTGTTGAATAAAAGGAGCTTCTCCAAATGCTATTGGCTTTCCATAGTCACCATCCTTTCCACCACAAATTACACACACTAAACATGATTGCTACGGTTACTACCACGGCTGCTTTCTCATCAGCCGTGGGGATGCAGAGGTGCAAACCTACATCTCAGGAAAGCTGAAGTAACCAAATCACCACGGTGCTCAATTCGGTGCGTGGGAAGGGGAAGAAATCGCACTGGGAAAGTAAACATCAAAAAATGGCCATGGAAGAAGGAATCAGAGAATCCCAGACTGGTTTGGGTTGGGAGGGACCTTAAAGCTCATCCAGTCCCAACCCCCCTGCCAGCAGCAGGGACACCTTCCACTAGACCAGGTTGCTCAAAGCCTCATCCAACCTGGCCTTCAACACTTCCAGGGAGGAGCAGCCACAGCTTCTCTGGCCAACATGGGACAGTGTCTCACCACCCTCACAGTGAAAAATTTCCTCCTAATATCCAACCTCAATCTCCCCTCTCTCAGTTTCAAACCATTTCCCCTTGTCCTGTCACTCTCTGCCCATGGCAAAAGTCTCTCTCCCTCCTGTTTCTAAGCTCCCTTCAGGTTCTGGAAGGCTGCAGTGATGTCTCCCCAGAGCCTTCTCTTCTCCAAGCTCAACAAGCCCAGCTCCCTCAGCCTTTCTTCAGCAGAGAGGTGCTCCAGCCCTCTGATCATCTTCCTGGCCTCCTCTGGACCCGCTACAACAGCTCCACATCTTTCTTGTGTTGGGGGCTTCAGGCCTGGATGCAATCCTCCAGATGGGACCTCACCAGGGCAGAGTAGAGGGGGACAATCCCCTCCCTCACCCCACTGCCCACCCCTCTTCTGACACAGCCCAGGACACAGTTGACCTCCCAGGCTCCATCGCACACTGCTGGCTCATGTCCAGCTCTTTGTCCATCAGGACTCCCAAGTCCTTCTCAGCAGAGCTGCTCCCCATGAGTTCTTCTCCCAGTCTGTGCACACACCTGAGATTACCCAGGACTATGAAAAATCTAGGAAATCAGAACAGATTATCCCATATGCAGTTGCATACCTTGAGTGGGAGAACAACTAAAGTAGGTGACACTGTTATTGCTTGCCTTTCTGGTATCAGAGAAGCTATTATGAAGGTAATAAATCAAAATTAACAGAGAGCTCATTATTTTAATACAGTTGCTCCTTTACCCTTCACTGTTCCTTGCTGAAACACAGCAGCACCTTTCAGCTGTTAATAACCCTTGAAAATAATGGGTGAGCAAGCGGAGCAGACCGCAGACACTCAATATGGATCGTTATGTTCCTCGGGCTGTGTAAGGACACCCACCGACAGCAGAGCCTCCACTCCTGGAGTCAAACCCTCCTCAACACAAGTTCAAGCCAAGAGGAAGTTCCCTCAGACATCTGCAGATCCCAGGAAAAATGCTTTCCCTGCCCTTTCCAGCCTACGTGCCTGGCCATGGAGAGGAGAAAACTGCAGGACAGCCAGTCATGCTCCAGGTCTCCTTCATCCCTTCATCCCTTCACCCTTTCATTCATCCCTTCATTCTTTCAATTCTTCATTCCTTCATTCATTCCTTCATTCCTTCCTTTATCCTTTCTTCATTCCTTTATTCACTCCTTCATCCCTTCCTTCCTTCATCCTTCATTCACTCCTTCCTTCCTTCATCCTTTTTTCATTCCTTCATTCACTCCTTCATCCCTTCATTCCTCATTCATCCCTTCACTCATTCCTTCATTCATCCCTTCACTCATTCCTTTATTCACCCCTTCATTCACTCCTCCCCTTCATTGTGAGCCCTCCAATCTAAATTCATCAGCATAATTTCAAAAGCACTCAGACACTCGCTATTCAGGCCCCACAGTCAGCGTCCGTGAAGGTAAATGTTTCCATAAATCTAAATGTCTTCTACTAATTTGAGTTGCTCTGCAAGAAGTACTTGCACTAAATCAGGCATCTACTCTTGTCTGAGTCTAACCTTCTTCTTAAACTACTTCTTGGAGGAAAATGGGTCTAATTAAATGGAACTACTCATAATGAACATCTAGAAGACTTAACTTCAAGCACAGTACCTAAAATATCTTCCACACCTGGCACGTGCTCCCAAGCTTCTGGTTTTTTAACCTGGTTTTGCAGAAGAGCAGCAAATGATCACCCTCTTCCCCCTTCACTGCTCTCGCTGGTAGACCCAACCTCCACCTGCCCGTGGTTTTCCACCCACAGGACTGCCAGCTCCTTCTTTCCACAGCTCTTTCCTTGAGCTTGAAATAACCCCACAAGCGAGGTCCCCCTCAGCAGTGCCTCAAGCACGTTATTATGTGTATTCATGATGTATTTTTATTATCTCCAAGGCTGATAAAATGAAATAACTAATGTATCTTGATTGACTTATCAAGGTCTAGGCTTTGTCCTTGCTGATTCCGTGAAATAAATACACAACTTCCCGCTTAGTCTCTTGTCTGGCAGCATTTTCCATTCCAGTAGTTTCTCTTACATTTTCATTCCCATATTTCCTTATTATTTTATTTAACTTTTTTTCTCAGGAAAGAAAATATTGGAAAGGGAGTAAATGAAGATGTATGTGCCCAGTCCCTCAGTAAACACCTACAGGAAGCTCTCTGGAGAATCAAAGACAATATGGGCCCCCGTGCAATGGAATAGGAATAAGTACATTTTTCATCAGGTTTATTTAAAAAATGGACAATTCCATATTCAAAATTCTTCTTCCTTCTGCAGGATGACAAAAGACTGGGAAGGAAGAGAAATAACTATAGAACAGAAGCCTTCACCTTCCCCGCAACATCTCTGAACCTCTCCTAAATTTTTTAGACTCATCTTCAGCCCTCGTGTCCTTTTCGATCCCTAAAATAAACAAGGCAGCAAAACTTCCCCTTCCCTTTGAGCTTGCCAGAAAACAAAACCCTTCCACACAGACACCAGCAGAGCCCCAGCGCTCCATCCCTCCGTGTCTAGCAAGTTCAGTTATTGCAAAATCTGGCAGTAAATACCACCAAACTCCTAGAAAATATTCTAAGTAGTAAAAATGAAGCAGAATCTCTACAATATTTAAATAATTCAGAGTGGAAATATATATATATATAGCCACTGCCCTCTCTACAGCCCAGCTTCCCACCACCCAAGAGACCGTCGCTCCTCTCTGCCTGCACACTCCCTCGTTACCATTTCCTTTTCAAAGGAGACAGCACTTTCTGAGGAGCAGTGCCTAAATTAAGAAAACTCAAAAAAAAAAGACATTTTAATTTTACACAATTCTCTTTATCCTACCAAGATAATGACTCTGTTATTAGGGTTGATCTGGGAGATGTTTGCTGCCGATCAGGAGCTGCGCTGGAGGCAATGCTCACCTGCTTACGTTCTTCTGAATTCAGCAGAAGATAGCGTGGATCAAATACTATTTTGTGTAACTCTTTTTCCCAGGTAGAAAATGCTGAAACCTGTGAAGTAGACAAACACAGTTGCATTAAGGAATTTTAATAAGGATGTGAAAGAAGAAAATGTTCCAAGGTGAAGCAAAAGAGTAGTTCAGAAAGCTAATGAACCCTCTAAAGGATGCCTCAGAGCGGTTGGAAGTTGAATTTTAATCTGTTTCTGGCAATGCTCTGGTTGCCACCACACCATTAGTATTGATTTGCTCTAGGACATCTCAGCGAGGATCTGGGAGATGCTCACCCCACGTTTTTGATGGAAAGAATCTGTAGCAGAAAGGAAAACACCATTTTATCATCCCCTTTGTACAACAGATGTACCAGTTCCCATTTCAGCAATTATCTCAGCTTCAACTCCCCTCCTCTACAAAACTTGAATTATAACCCAAAAGAGGCTCCCCATGCACGCACACACTGAAGAATTCATAGTGAACATCTTCAAACCACCACGGTTTGGTCATAAATGTGCCTCTTCTCCTCCGTGTTGAGGCTTCTCCCCTTTTCCACTGAATCCAGCTCTCGGGAGCAGGACTCTGGGTGGCCCTGTGCATCACTCACAATCCTACACAGCATCCCACTCCTACAGAGGTTCTCCCATCTCCTACAGAGGTTCTCCCATCTCCTACAGAGGTTCTCCCATCTCCTACAGAGGTTCTCCCATCTCCTACAGAGGTTCTCCCATCTCCTACAGAGGTTCTCCCATCTCCTACAGAGGTTCTCCCATCTCCTACAGAGGTTCTCCCATCTCCTACAGAGGTTCTCCCATCTCCTACAGAGGTTCTCCCATCTCCTACAGAGGTTCTCCCATCTCCTACAGAGGTTCTCCCATCTCCTTTCCCACCTCCTACACAGCATCCCACTCCTATAGAGGTTCTCCCATCTCCTCTGAAACCTCTTTCAGGTGAGTGGGCTGTAAAAACCACTGTGAGGCTGAGCTGGTCCCTCACTTGCCCAGTGCCCTTTGCTCAGGACTTTCACAAAAGGACAGTCTGGAAGCGTGGGACTGAAATCTCCAGCCTGACCTCAGTGCCTCACACATCACCACTCTCAATTAGTTTGTTACAGAAAACTCTGGAGCAACGTAAAATATTCTAAACACTCCATCTAATTACAAAGAGTAAATTCACCAAAAAAAAAAAAAAAAAAAAAATGTGAGGAATAATTAAGAGTAATTAACGCTGAAACAGGAAAGCTCTGATGAAGCAAAGTGGGATCCAATGGACTGGCTTTCCTTTTCCATAGGTCAGCCTGGAAATGCTGTGGTTCAGGTTTAACCTTCCAGATGTGCAGGGATCTGGGGCTGCCTCCTCCAGCCACTGTCCTCCTGCAGCCACCAGTGCCCCGGCCATGCCCACCAATCCCCAAGGTTCAGGGTTTTCCCCCTTCAGTCACAGGAATCCTTTTTTACAGGATTTCTTTTATACTTCTCTTGCACATCAGCTTTGTCCTCAGCACAAAGGCCAGTTTGAACTCAAAGCTAGTTAAACTCGAGCTAACTTAGCCCATCATCGTTCCTGTTTATGATTTTTCCTTCAGTAACGATCACATTTCACACACTGCAGACATACACCTGAAATAAGTGGTGGCTGCTGGTGTTCATGATGTAATTCCAGCTACACCTCATGCACAGTTCAGGATCCTCAGTCTGAAGCTCTGCAAATCCATAGGGAACGTGAATATTCTGACTCATCTCCACCATGCATTGTGTGCTGGTCTTCTCCCCTACTATGGGACATTCAACCAGGGACCACCTGCACTGGGGATGGTGTTGGAGGCATCTCTTCTCAGAATAAACAGTGACTTCAGTGGCCAGGTGAAAAGGAGAAGAGAGATCAGAGCTGGTCACGGTGTAAAAGGGAAAGACTCTCTGAGAAAATGTTTATAAGTGAGATGATATTGATTAATAGAAGTGTTATAGCTGAGATGAAAAATCAGAAACAGGTGCGAAGAAATAATAGAACTAATTCTTATAAACCACGTAACCACGCTGCTTCTCACTCAGCCCTTGTACAGCCCCTCCCATGCTGGGTTTAAAACCCAGTCCAGCTGAATCAACAGGAATAACAGAGCTTAGAACATAGTAATTGCAGCAGATAAGTGATTAACTCAGAGTAAGTACAAGTTAAATGTCACTGTGTCGGTTTTTGAAAGTGCAAAGGTTTTAGCAGACAAGAAGATTATTCAAAATCAGTGAACACAGTGACCAGAACGTGACCAAACTGCAGCTTCTGAAGAGGAACCGAGACGAGACAAGAAGCTTTCCAGCCACCCCTCATTCCTATACTGAACATGACATGATAGGATCTGGAATATTCCACTGGCAGAGCCAAATGCCAGTTTGGATCTATTAACCTTACAGTGGTCCCTCCAGCTTCTTCTGCACCTGCAGACCAGCAAAACACGGGAAATTGGAAAGTCCTTGATTTCCCAGCAACAACTGAAAACATCAGTGTGTTATCAACATCCTCCTCATACCAAATCCCACATTGAACCCAAACCACAGCGCTGATCTAGCTCCTGAGAAGAACATCAGCTCCATCCCAGCCAAACCAGGACACTTTCCCAGAACTGCAGACTGTAGAACGTGGATATTTTGATGCTGTGGCTTTGGAGGGGCCAAGAAGAGGCTTGAAATTCCCCCTTCCCCTCAGGATTTTGTGGAAACTTTTAAACTTCCAGCAGGATACCAGAGATTACTTTTTTTACATAGGAAAACTTGCCACAAACAGAAGAATAGTGCCATTGTCTTGGAGCTCCATCAAAAATCACATATATTTTTAAAATGTTACAATATTCTTCTGTTGATATAATTTATATAAGAAGATTCAGAACTATGCTGAAGAACTCCATCTAGTTGAAGCTCTTTGAAAGGCCATTAAGTAACTTTTTGGGAAATAACAACATTACAAGAAAATGGCAGGAGATGCTCATTAAATAACCAGTTTAAAATAACACTAATGGCCTCAGAGCATTTCCAGCAATGCCAACCAGCTGCTGCTAACCAGCAGCTTGTCTGGACATTTAAAAAATGCTCAGGGTGAAAGCAAAGTAACCTATTAGCTATGAATTTTTAAATAACAGCAAAACCAAACAGTAAATTTCCTGAACTTCTTATTTTTATGAGCCAATCTGACTCTTACACTGGAAACACTTAAGGAATTGTATTATAGAACATCCCTAATACTTCCAGATTTTGACTTATTGTGCCCTGACTTAATATGCGGCAGCAGAAGTCTCCAACCAGTATTTGTTTACAGCATGTTTGCATTTTTTAAGTATAAATAACAAAAAGTATTAATAAAGCAGGTCTGGCACGGAGATAATTTACTGTTGAGCTTCTGAAGTTCTAATTATCTGCCTTTAAATCTGCTGATTACTAGTGATAAATTTTATAGGCTTTACTGCCTAACAACAGACACCTTGGATTTTTTTTTTCTTTACAGAAATTACATGAACTTCTATAGAATACATATTTGCAGAGAGCTGGAAGGATGCACAACATCCACACACATTGCTCCATTCTACACCCATCTGCAGGATTAGGACCTAAACCTGGTTATGCTTATTGATGCCACTCATGCTCCAAATCATCAGTCCTCTGGAAGAAGGGACATCGAGATGAACTTTTGTGGAGCTGATTTTATGTTTATAAATAACAGCATCCAAAATTCTACATATTGACAGTAATCTTTATGTGGCCAGGTCTGAAGTGCTACCACAGAAAACAAGACTCAGGCTGAAGCTCTTCACAGAACTAGTCACTGGATGCTGTGATAAGAGGAAACAGTCCCAAGTTGTGCCAGGAGAGGTTCAGATTGGGTATCAGGAATAATTTCTTTGCTGAAAGGGTTCTGAGGCATTGGAAGGGGTTGCCCAGGGCAGTGGTGGAGTCCCCATCCCTGGAGGGATTGAAAAGCCGGGTAGATGAGGTGCTCAGAGATCTGGTTTAGCAGTGGACAGGTCCAGCTGGACTCGATGATCTCAAAGGTCTTTCCAACCAAACAATTCTATGATTCTGTGACCTGTAACACGTTTCACTGTTGGTCATGAGGCTCATGGAGCTGATGGGCTCTACCTGCAAATGGAATTTATGCTCCATCTATGAACTGATAATCCTGACCTGGGCATGGTAAAATGGCTGCAGTGACTCTGAGCCCTGTGTTGGCGCTGGCCTGGTTGCAGGAGGGAGGGATGCTCCGGGTCCTCTCGTCTGTCTGGTTCCCGAGGAGCCACCTCCTCTTGTCCTCATTCAACCCCAGCCCTGAGCATCCCACGATCCTGCACCTCATTCCCTGGATCCCATGGTCCAGCCTCTACTGGACTCACCAGCTCTTCTCAACAAGTCCAAGGTCAGGGAGGTCCATGGAAAAGGACAGGTTTTCTTAACCCTCCCGAGACTCCAGTACATCCTTTCCTAACAGACTGGGTGGATCGGGGATGGCCAGTACGTGAATTTGGCTTCCCACTAACCTATCCCATACTAAAAAAGCTGAGCTTGCCAGGATCATTTCTGAGCACAGAGCTGCCTTTCAGGTGATATAGATATGACACATCCTTCACTCTTTGTTCATCATGTGATGAACACTTCTGGGGTCCATGTGGGACCCATGTGGCTGTGGTCCCCATGCCCTGCTAAGCTACTGGTCTGTACTGGAGAAGCGACTGCCTCTGGTTATCTTTGGGTCTGTCTACAGGAATTTATTTGGAACTACACCCGCAAAGGGCTGTCAGGTCTGTGTGGCCAGAAGAAAAGTGACAGTGAAGTACCACAAAGACTGCGTGGTTAAGAGCAGAAAAGCCCCTCTCAGTAACTCCTCCTTTGCCTGCTCAGTCACAGTTATGGAGCAGTTCCTGCAGTGGTCCTGGACGATGCTCTGCTGCCATAAATGAGATGTGTCACAGGAAGCCAGCACGGTTCTTACCCCTCTCTCCAGCAGCATGTCTCGGAAATGAGTGATGCGCTCTTCCAGGGGAGGTGTGACCTGGGGTGCTGACGTTTCCTCAATTTTCTCCTCCATTTCAGCCTTCCCCTGGTCAGCAGCTTGGGAATCTTCTGTTCTTTAACAAGGTAAGATAGAAAATAGTTCAGTGATTGTCAGCTCTGCAGGGGATTTTTAACCCTCTCTAGAAAACCCTCCCAGACAGCAGGACTTCATGTGTACGAAGCTGCTGCAGCCAGCTGAGCTGTGACCCAAACCCACAGCTCAGTATTGAACCCTGGAGCTCGAGGGTCCCACCAAGGGACCTCAGCAGCTCGTTATGTGGAAGGATGGTCTATCAGCACAGCAAAGAGGAACTCAGCAGCCAAATATCACCCTGGAGATCAAGCTACAGAAAAGTGGCAGCTTTACCGAAAACTTGTCAAGGAGTGGAGACTTTAAAGGAGTGACTGAAGAGACTCATCTGGGTTTATTTTTCTTTCCTGTTTTTGTGCCCCCAAACCTGGAAGGCAACACTCATCTTTATTTTACATTCCCAGGCAGGAGCTCACTCCTAAGGGAAGTAACCCAGCCATGCACCGTGTGCACAGACCCACAGCAAAGCACCAGCAAAGAACCTGCCCTTTGCCAGGGCCAGCAGCTCGGTATTTATCCTGACAGCCCTTTTTTGATTAGAATAAACACGTCTGGCTGAGAAAATACTTGTTTTTTACTGCCCGAGCCCCTCTGCCTACAAGACCCCTGGATACAGGGATGCAGGGAGCACCGCTGGGCTCATTCCAGGAAGAAGGAGAGTTTGCTGTAAGTCGCAACCATGAAGTAGCAGCAGCGTAAGGGTGATGCTCTCCTCCAGCACAACCCCACGTAACTGGTGCCACCCTGGAGAAGAACTGTTTCCCACCAGATAAATATCTGCACCATTTTCTCAGAGTTAGGGACCATGGACACTGCACTCTGGAAGCAAATGCTGATTTCACCTTTGTTCGGAGGGCTGAAGATTTGCCCCTGTGTGCCCTCAGCATCTGCACGGAGAGGTGAATGAGATGGGAACTCGAGGGCAGGGAGGAGGCTGCTTCAGGAGGGGATGGCATTTGGGATGGGGCTTGGGATGGTGACACCTGAACTCCTGACTTCAAAGAAGTTGGCCAACTCAGACCTTGACACCAGAGTTCTCTCAGGCCATCCTGCGGGTGCTTAACGCTTCGAGCAATGAGCAAGTTCAGGACAAATTAAAGCTCTTTCTGGAAAGATCTTAAAATGATCACAAGGTTCAAGTGAGGATAATGAAAGGTGATTTGATTTTTAGCCTCCTACTAGGCCCAACTGCCTTTTCTCCCTCGCCACTACAGAATAATACTTAGTTTGACATTTCAACAGGAAAACACTTTTTTTATTTCCAAGCAAACGAATTAGATCAGTTTGTAACGTGAGCTCCAGTGTATTATCTTCCTGCTACAAATAATGACATTACACTTACACTTATCCTAAAATGGTGCTGCATTACCAGGGATTGGAGAGGTATCAAACTGGTGCTCTTCACAGACTGACAGCGACTTTCCTATCGTAACAGCAAATTCTATTCTGTGACATGCTGCATGAAAAGCCCAAGCCAATTCCTAGTGCACACAAAGAGCTTTTTCAAGCTGAAACTGAGAGAAACTCAGTGCAGGACTCCACCAGCCAAGCACCAGAAGATCCCTTCTTGCCTTCAGTCCTTCTTGAAAATTGAAAACGATGCTGCCAACCAGACTTTTTTCTCATGTCAAAAATTACAAGAAAGAATAGAATTTTCTTTAGCAAATAATACAATAATCTGGACAACAAACTATTTGTCTTTCTACTCAGAAGGACACATAGGAGTAGCCTACTAGGAGGAACCTGGAAGGCTGCAAATCTCTAAATGGAGAGGGTGGAGAGAGGCTGGTGCAGAACTCGGGTACCCACTGAAAGGAGAAGAGGCAACAGGCACAGACTGAAACAGGGAAATCCATCTACGTGCAAGAAAAAGCTTGTATTGAAAAAGAAGGTCTCTAGCTGGGTCTCGTAATTTTGACCATGTCCTTTTGAGTGTAAAGAGAATAAGAGACTAAAAACCCCAAAGTTAGTCTTTCAAGTGAGTAAGTCACGGAAACCCAAGGAGGATGAGGGAATATTCCTCATTCACAAGCAGACAGTGACAGAGGCACTGCCTGACCCCCCGACACGCGGCACAGCAAGCCCAAGGCTGCTTTGACACAGTAACCTCTGAATAAGGGCATTTTCCTGGAGTTGCATGAACAAGCTGCTGGAGTTTTTGAATTCTATTTATGTACATCAATGAAAAGACATTCATATATTTTCTTGAGCAATTGCTGAAAGGAATCACCTCAACAGCACAGGTCAGAATACTGCCCGGTATTGTCAGACCCACTGCTGTCAATAGATTTATTCTTAAATAGTTTTGTACTAAATATAATCTTGTATACTGTTTATAACTATGTAAATAGCAAAAGTACATATTTAGCATAGATAAACTATAAATATACTCTTTTATACCAAGCATTATATGCTTCAATAGTCTGAGAACTGAACCCAGAGTATTTGATTCTTCCTTCACAATATAAATCCACAGAAAGCCTTGATCAAAAGAACCTCCCAATGTAGTAGAAGAATGGCAATATAAGAGAGAAAGGAATTATATCCACTTGGAGAATACAGAAATTTGTTGTGCTTACTCATCACAACACCCTCAAGAATACAGCACACTATCTATGCAGATTTATTTTTGCAATGGTCCAAACCAGTACCTAAACCCCAGCCAGCCCACGTGAAGAGCTAACGCTGTATGCAGTTACTGGCCAAAGGTTAAACAGAATGAAGTGTCTTTAAGGTATTTCTTCAGAGAGAATTCACTTCATTTCCTTGCTCTTTTGGCAAAGGGTGAGGGAGTCGCTTCTTTGACACGTGGATTTTTTTTGCCTGTTACTTCATGAGAATTGGAAACACACATAGTAATAAAGGTCAAATAAAAGCACAATAATAAAAATACCTCCGGGTATTTCTGAGCCGGGAGCCTGGAAACCCTGACACTGTGAAAAAAAATAGCTGCTTCACATCAATGGAGATAAAGCTTTTATCCAATGTCTTTGAAATCACTACTTCTCCAGTCAGTCCTTTTAACCATTCCAAAGTAGGTAAAAGTTACTCAGATGCTGCTCATGGGAAACAGATACTGTAGAGAATCATGGAGTTTGATGAAGATTGGATACCTTAGGAATGACTCTCATCATTTATTGCTGTAGTTATCCATACGGAAGAAAATAATTATATAAAAACAATAATTTGTACCAGACGTTAGCTTCCCAACATTATAGATAGGTAAGTAAACCTCAGAACTTACTTATTTCTCTTACTTTTGGTGCTAAGATCATCATTTTCATCCTCTGGACAAGAACTTACACATTTATCTGCTGAAAAAGAAATAAATACTTATTAGATTTGAAACAGATAAATGGGAATACAAATTCCACAGATTAACTTTTCATTTCTTGTCTTTGGCCACTGCTCAGGCATTTACTATTTTTCACTCTCCAGAGTGTTTTTAAAATAACATATTTCATCAGATCCTCAGAAATACCTTCATCCACATGACAGTGACAGCAATAAAACTGACTATTTTCACTCTGAAAAATTGCTCATTGTTCATGATCTGAGCAAAATTGTTCATTGATCATTTGTGACATGATTTCATTTAAATCTTGTTATTGTTTCATCTGATACTCCCTCCTCCCTTCCCTTAAAAACACAACTACGAAGACAATTCTGAAAAATCATTTCAGTCCTGGCAGCCTGAAGATTTCAGTAGTGTTAACTCACACCAGAACCTCCTTCCTTAGCCCATTTCTCTTTCTTATATAAGGAAATATAATGCTGTTTTTCCAGAAATTCAAGGCTGTGGAGATCCCAACCACCTCCCAACTCACAATGTTGGAGTAACTCCAAGGCAACATTACACTCCTGGCCTGGACATTCATCCCTGAAGGACTCTGAGGTGGCTTTGCCAGTCATAACAAACACATGGAACAGATATTTATTTCTGGAATCTAATTTTTTTTTTTTTTCATGTATACAAACTTCAGTTTTCATCAACAGTCAAACAGACAGACTACCAGAAGTCATGTTCATCCAGTCCTTGGTTGGTGCTGGAGACTCTTCAGCAGGTCACTGTGAATTAGTTGAGAAGTACAAAAATTGAACTGGATGTGGTTAGCTTGGGAATATCAGAAACACCAAACCTCACCCTTTTTGTATTAGACTGGCAACGAAGATGTGTCTCCTTATTTAGGAAACTATGAAAAAATAAATTTAAAATAAATATAAAATTGAGCTTAGGATATGGAGATAAAAGGTTGGAATAACTTGATACGGTGAGGTCTGGTCTCACTGAAATCAGATGGAACTCCAAGAGATCTGCTAGAAAATAGGTCCAGTCTTTGTATTGTTGAAGCTAACAGAAATTTGGCCATTTAATCCAAGTTCCAGTTTAAGAATGTCATTCTCAGCTCATTTTGTTCCCCTGTTTTAGGGAAATCACACTTTTATCAGTGTGCTTTCAAGCCCACGATAAACCACCACAAAAGGAACAAGAAAACCCAAACAGCAGCGGCAACATCACGGCGTGGGCAGACCAGGAGCAGAGGAGAGACCACCCGAGGAGGAAATCCACCACAGGTGCAAATGGACATGCAACCAACTACAGCTGCACGTGATAGTCTGGAGACATGGATGGCATTCCAAAATAAGGAGAGTTTGAACTCAACGTTCCTGACACGTCAGCATTATGAATACCTAAATGAATGGAATAATGTTTTAATTTAACATAAAGTCACTGGAACTATTATTTCCTCTTGGTAAATTCTTCTTTGGGACACCCAATTAGAAATAGGGAAAACAACCTGTAAACTCAGAAGGTGGGATGTAGTTCAACAGAGATATTAGAAAGCTCTGACTCTACTGAGACAGAGGAGTGATGACAGTCAGGGACAAGAATAGAGAGCTGTCACCAGAAGATGTGGCACTCTGCTGTCAGACAGGTCTGACTTGGGAACACTGGGAGAACACCCAAGGTCTGCAAGTCCTGGAAGAGCCATCTCTGTCCTGGCCCTGTGTTTGGTTGGTGGTGGGTCCCCATTGCAGGGGCTGGGGTGGCATCATCCAGGAGGTGCTCCACTCGCAGCCATGGTGCCCTTGCAGCTGCCTCGATGGCATCCCAGGAGCTGCATCTCTCTGGATTCCAGGGGATGGCCTTATGGGAACCCATTAGGCAAAGAGCCACGACACGTCATAAATCTCCCTACGACTAGCACTCTGTGGAGGCGGAGTAGCTGATAAATGAGTAATTTTTCATTTATATCTAAATTATAAATGCACTTGATCTTTCAGCGCGGCGCCGCGCAGATAACCTACAGCGTCCCAGGAATAACTATCCTCGGCAACTTTTTCTGTGCCTTTGATTCAAAAATTCTAATTAAGACTCAGCGGCAGCAACTAAGCTAAATAAATTTGGCAACAACCATCGCTGCAAACGCACGGCTCATTTGTGTTATTTATTTACTCGCGATTACAAGCTAAGAGAAATGGTTACAAATAATTCCTTTCACCTCAGCAGCTAATATATACTAATTATAACCTGACTGTCTCAAATACCGAGCAACCACAAGTCCCAATTATACCAAGGAAGATGAAAGACTATTAGCAACGACGAAAACCATGGTCATAAAGAAACTGGTGCATGAATCAAGTCTTGGTGGTACTTATAGATAATAAATAAAGAGGATGGAACACAGCAAAAACCAGATTTTTGAAGTGGCACATATCAACAATGGCTCTTCTTATTAATTAATTACAGACCATGAACAATGACCCTCAGTTTTGTCTTGGGCCATCATTTCCCCTTGTCAATAATTAATTGATCTTTCAATATATCCTGTAATAAAAAAACATACACTATATTTTTCTTCTGAAGAATGAAATTCGACAGATACACTTTGGAATTATTAAATATACAGCTAAAGTTATTCAAGCCATCTACAAAAGTGACATCTATACAAGCATCTGATGATTGAAATTTATATTGAAAAATGTAATGACATTACATGTCGATAAGGACTGCACTAATAGGAAACCACTCTGCAGCTTTCCTTCAGGAACCTTCTGCTAACACTGACAACATAAATCCTGATTACCACTCGCTTTTACCTACCTGCAGCCACAGAAACACAGAGTTATAGTGGTTGGAAAGATCACCAAGTCCAACCATAAACCCAAC